TTTTCTTACAGGTGTGCAGAAGGGGTTAAGAGAACAGGAGGAGGAGAATGAAAAAGGAGGAGGAGAAAACAAACAGGAAAACGGTGTTCTTGCATTTCATAGCCTTCAAATCAATACATCGATTCAAATGCTTCCTTGTCTAAATGCTCAGACCCAAATATGCAAATGCATGCATTATTTTATTCCATGTCTAGGTAAATCAGCACACAATTCAAAATGGAAAAAAAAAACCCTACACTGTATTTGCATTGGTTCAATCACGGAGTTAAAGCAGTCAGTAAATATAATGTGGGACAACTAACTAAGGCTTTCCCAAACATTATATTTAAAAATAAAGCCACAGTATAAATCTGTGTGCAAGAAAAAAAAAGAGCTATCAGTTTCTACCAGATCTAGGGATAAAATAATTTCAATTAGCAGCAGTGCTGATTAAAGCAACTTCCTCCCCATCTGCTATTCTCTCCCAGCCAGGTGCTAGTTTTCTTTCTAAATATGTAGCTTCTGCAGGAGGAGAAAATGGTTGTGGGGGAGGTGGAATTTATCCCTCCTGCTGCACTCTGTCTGTACTGATCTTTCCCCATTACCTACAACTGCTTTAGCACTTAAGTATTTTCATATTTGGTTAAGGTCTTCCTAGCAGAAGTTCAAGAGGGCTCACTATTCAAATATATACTTGAGAGGGGGGAGGGGAAATAATAAAAGGAATATGTTTCATCCTCCCTGGGGGCCCAGTATAACGAAGTGTCACTCTTGTAAGTCAATGGATGGTTTTGCATATAAGGTATGGTTTGCTTAATAATAGTGACTTAAAAGCTCAATTGGCTGAATGAAAGTTGTAACACGGGGGTTACAACCCAGAATAGTGTGGATAACTCATGAGAAATTTTCAAATGTGTGTATGTGTGTGTATCTATCTATCTATATCTATCTATCTATCTATCTATCTATCTATCTATCTATCTATCTATCTATCTATCTATCTATCTATCTATCTATCTGTCTATATCAGAAACAGCAATATTTTTAAAAAATCTCCTGGAATTTATACGTCAATCAAAGCCACAATGTCACTTACTCATATTTTTTTAGAGTGTATGGTATTGAATTGCCACAGAATCAGAATTTGTGACTTGCCATGATGTGTGAATTTTGGTTTTTCCAACAAAAACTTAGCTCCAAACAGCACCTGAAACCGGTCAGTAGTTTTCCTGTATGCAGGCTTCCTGAATTCTTGGTTGTTTTGTTGTATGCTAGAAGCATTCAGGGACAGCACTTCTTTGGCAGCATGAAAGAGCTCCCTAGGGATGGGGAATAATTATGCAGACTTTTCCTGCCCTCCGTGCTTTGATGCCTAAGTTTATGAAGTTGAACTGTCAAGAAGGAGCTCGCCTTCAATCTGCAGCTTTCTAATCAGGCTCTGAAGGATGCAAACAAGGGAATTATTCTAGGACCTGTCCCAGACTGTCCCTGGGCTGGGGGTGGGGGACAGCCGCCATTCAGCACTTCCTCTAGTCTAGCGTGTCAGCTAGAGTCAGATAAATATACAGCGTACAATTGCCAGATTAGCCAGTAATGCAAAGCCATGCCCTGAACAGCTGGGGAGACTGCAGAGCCAGAGTCTCAGCTTTTCCATTTGCAGTGGGGGAGGGGAGGTATTTCATTAACAGGGAAGGAATTGGGGCAGGGCAGCAAGCCTTTGCTCATTCTTTTATACCACTGCATCTGTTCTGCCTGGATGGCTTACTAGCTGATTGATTTTTGTTCCACTTTCTATTGCTTCCTACGAACAGGGAAGCCTCATTTAACACTGCCTATGGATCTTCCCTAATGCCTTAATTTCTTTTAAAATTATTATTTTTAAATTCTTTTTCTTGCTTTCGTTAATCAAACCAAAAAAAAGCAAGCAGAAAAAAATACATGCAAAAGTTATTGAATAAAGGAAAAGAGCCTGTGATGAAATACTGTGATGCTTCTTTCATCATTCTGATGAAAGCAGTGACAGCCCGAGGATGTCATTGTATATGTATCCAAGCCCTCTATGTGTTCTGAAAAATAACTTCATTGCTTATAACAAATACAACTTCTTTAAGTCAAGCTTATGGTGATTGCATGGACATGTCCATATAGTTGTTTCAAGAATAGTACAAAAATGATTGGCTGCTGTTTTCTTTCATCAACATTTTTCTTGGTGACTAAGTATAGCCCTGGGAATTTTTTGGTAATCTCTCATTCAGGTACTAGCCATGTTCAACCTTGCTTAACTTTTGAGAGGGAAAAAGAAACAACACTCCTTTGCTCATTCCTTTGCTGAGAAACTGAACAATAATTTGATAAACAGAACACACTGTATTGAAGATATGCACATATGTCCTACCATTTCAATATATCTGTCATTTTTAAGGTCATGGGTAAGTCTGCAGAGGCATCAAATCATAAGTTTTTATCAAACACAGATAACCTATGGAAGGCACTAACCCCTACAATCAGTATCTAAGATGAGAAATTATATTAGATTGTTTGGTTTTGACTTAGCTGATTATATGACCCTAATTTCTGCAGGTTACAAATCATGGTTTAGGGCTTAGCTCATCACCATTGAGACTTGCCCATACAAGGGTTCAATGTGATGTGTGACATTCGATTCCTCTGTGATGTGGGATGGCTTTTGAAGAGAAGCAGGGCATTTTTTTTCATGCTTCCAACTTCTTAACCTGCTTCACAGCAATAAATAATTGTTTTCCTCCAAACTTATTGCCTTGTGTTTATATGTGTAGGAGGAAGGAATCAAAGCAGAATTATTTTCCAGCTGGGAAGATGATGATTAATGGGATCAGAGCTGGGAAATTTAGGTATTACTTGTTCTAAAGAAAATAATACTTATTCCTGGGGGATTGGTGGTGAATGATAATGGTGCACTAACAGCACCCAGTGTCTAAGTTGAATCAAAGTATGGGAAGCCTTGGTCCTACCAGATTGGTTGATCAGTTGCTCCCACTTTGTTGATAATCTGTCAAATCTCTTCACTCAGACAAAAGCCTTGAGATATTTTTTAACATAAGTTATTTTTGTTAATTGTTAATAGACAGAACCTTTTGCTCTCCTATAAACAAAATGTGATTGACATTGGGAACATTACATCTCTGATTACAATAAAATTTAAAACATCTCAAAACTCCTTAGAACTCAAAAGGATTCCCCTTCTATTTCCTTCTTCAGAATCTGCTCCATGAATAGCTAATCTCTCTGTAGTTAATCTCTTATCTGCATTTAATTGCATCTGAAAAGAGTTTTGTAAGTCTAGAGATATGGTCTTAGTAGCCCAGTGGCCATAAACATGTTCTAAAGTGTAAATAACTTGTTCTTAGAGTATTTGTCAGGAAAAATGCAATCAAAACCTGGAGACAAGAATTTAAAAAATATAGCCAAAGAAACCACTGTGTCTTTATTCAAGCATAAAATAAGGAAATGGTGTAACAAGACAATATAAGATTTTAAAATGTATATTATTATTGAACCAGCCATAGGATGGTGCACTATAAAATTGACCCGAATTATCTTTCTATTTGCACTAGGAACTGAGTTGTTGGATTTTATTTGGTTACTTCAGGACCACTAAAACAAATTATGACCTCTTTCCCTCCAGTGCAGTTCCTCATGCCTCTTTTTGAATCTATTTACTTTTTCCTTAGCAGCCATCTCTGGTCTAATGTTCTCTGCTGCAGGCAATAGCCAAAGATAAATATGAGGCCAAAGAGAGTTTGAGATATTGATTATATGCCATCAAAATGGTATTGGCTCCTAGGGCCCTCATAGATAATTTTTCTCCATTACAATCTATCCCTGACATGCTCTTTCAAGACTCCCAAATGGCACTCTCATTGCCACTGTAACTGAGTTCCCCTGTCTTGTGCTGGTCATCCTCCTCTTTTTCCTTCCATCTTTCCTCTGATACAGTCATAATAACATTCCTTTCTCCGAGAGTCAAGGACATTCTGCCCTGCACCTGGAGGGATGTGACTGGGAGGCATCACCAGTTGGGACGGTGCTTTGATTGGACCATGTGATGGGCATGCGGGTGCTGGGTAGGTGCTTGGACTTTCTTTTGGGTGGGGAAAACCTGGAAGCTTTCAGATTCGGGTTTTTCCAGCTGTGCCAATATGACATCTCTAATAAAATGGAACTTTGAGGAACTTCAAGCCTTGGAGTCTTCTTTCATGGGAGTGTTACTTGGAACCCTGACATCGACATGGCTTAGTGCAGTACTGTCAACCTCCTGGCCCATGGGCCATATGCGTCATGCATTGGTGTCGTCTGGTTTAGAAAAGGGAGGGGGGAAGTCCCGATATGTCACATGACGCCACCGTGACGATGTGAGTTTGACACCCCTGGCTTAGTGTGTCGTATATAATAAGTTATGGTTTATTTGACAATTTATGATTACAGAAATATGGCTTGGCATGATATATTCACACCCATCTGCAATTCAGGTCTTAAATACATGACCTGAACTCCTGATGGGTGTTAACTCATCATGCCAAGCCATATTGACGTAATTTACTTATTTAAGAGTTTTCTGTAGCTGCTCATCATATACAGCATAAGCCTAAGAAACTCCCAAGCTGCAATAAAGTAACAATAAATAATAATAAAGAAAACACAATAACCAACCAAAAAGCCTTCGTGGCTCCCCCCAAATGCAATATATCCCCACTTTTCCAGAAAGAAACCTGAGTGCATTTCTGGGCTGCAGCCTCACAGACCCCTAGGCTAGTGGGAAAAGCCATGTTATCGTTTTTCAGAAAGCCAGGAGGGTAGGTATCCCAAAGGGCAGGGTCCACTCTCAAGAAAGCATGCTGTCCTGGCCCTGCTAGGTGACAACATTTAAGTGAAGGGACCTGGAATGTACTGACCCTATCAGGATACCTAATCAAAATGAAAATGTATAGAATGCACCTAGAACATGAAAGTTCTGGGAATAGATGCAGACATGAAGAAAGATAATCTTTTATAGAACAAATGCTTTATTGGATTTCAGATTCCAGTGATTGAGAGGACACAACATTTATAAAATTCTCCATGTTTCACGTTGGAGACAGTATTTAGGGACACGACTGGTGTCCGATATTGTTTATTGACACATTCATGAGTTATGAAGTCATGCTCAGTCAGCATGGTCCAGCAGTAGAAAATGCAATGCTCAAGGCATTTTGGTCCAGGTCCACGATCCCCCAAAGCACACTGCTTCAGCCAAAATTTTGCTACCACTACCTGATACATTCTGTTGAAGTAGCAAAGCTCATCTCCCATCTCCCACCCTGTCCAGCTTTACATGCAGACTTTACTGGGTTGCTTTGCTTATAAAAGTGGTCTAAATGATACAGCAAATTTGCTAGTTTGGATACCTCAATGGAATGAGAACTGAGTAAAAAATCCAAAAGGAAAATAATTCCCAATTCAATTTATAGGAGAAGTAGTTGGGAAACAACCCTGGAGTGCTTCCAATTGCTCCATTCTTAAGTCCCTCTACTTCCTGATCATTTGACTGAGAATAGTTACTACTGTATTCTGGGGTTGGAAAGAATTCCAAAATCCACATCTGCAAGTTTTCTCTATGGTGTTTTACAAGCAACACCATACAGAACTATAGTTCCTCATTCTAAAAAAGTTCCTTAATCCTTACATTACCCACTTGTCAACCATACCTGTTAAATTCTCTTAATTGCATACCATGCAGTTGGAAACCTGAGTGAATTCTGTTGCTCAAAACAGCCAATACGTAGATGAACCAGTGGTTCAAATCAGTAAAAGATCATTTTTGGGTATTAATGGTAACACCCTACCTATGGTGTTGAGGCTGAAGTGAGAGGGAAACTTGAAGCTGTGAGACAAAGCAGCAGTCAAAATCAAAGGACAAAGTAGGAGGTATGATCAATGAACAGATCCAGAATTAGAACTGAGAATAACCCAAAAATGTGAATGGTACTTTGAAAGGGCTTTGATTTTGCTTACAGTAGCACTGTGTTCCTGGCTTCCCATGGTATGATCCTTCTAAGCAGTCTAACCAATTTTCTCGCAACTTGACTCTCCAAAATGTTGAATGGCAAAAAGTTACTGTACTTGGTGCTGAATCAATTTCCCATTGATAAGAAATCCCAGAACTACCTCCTCTTGGCTTCTTAGCTAACCCCTCCAGCTAACTTCTCATAGAATCTCAGCGCTCTAACAAAGGGCTTCCTGTGATCATTCAGATAGCTGCCCTTCATGTACTCTCTCTCTCACACTCACTACCAAGCTGATTTTGGTGTACCCATATTGGCCAGCAGGAAGGCATAGTGGTCAGCTGTGTTGAGGGCTTGCAATAGTGATGATGGGCATTATAGCAGACCCAGCAGTGGTTGGATCTCTGATTCAGGTTAAGAATAGAAAGATGAAATGCTAGTAGCCCAAGAACTCAAGAAAACCATTTGGGATAGGACACCTTCTCTATTACCAGGAAAGCTGGATAGTGAAAGCAAGACTCAAAGGTATTTCCTTGAGAAGTCTGCCCATACTTACTGGTTTACCATATATGAGACAACAACTTGCCCTTGAACTGAATTCATCAGTTCTGGACCTCCATAACCATAGACGGCGAAAACTACGGTAATTTTAAAGAAAAACCCTGTTGAAATAAACTGTTGATACCATAATGATAATCTTCTCTGAAAGAACTTTCTGGAAGGAGCCCCTGTGAGCTGTACATTCTGTATAATTTGTAGTTTCTATTTTTTCTCATCTTCAGATATATTTGCCACTTCTCTTTAAAAACTGTTGCCTGCTGAAAAATCATTTTCATTCAACACATAGCAGGGGAGGGGAAAGCGAATCAGCAAAATAAATAAATAAACGGAACTGTACAATCATTTAGACACGTCCTAAATGTAGCACACACCGCTACCTTGAAAAATCGCTCCAATTACATCAGCCCTCAGTCATCTTTGATTTTCAGGGAGGGCCTTGCTATGATTTGCAAGTTCAGTTAGAGAGCATATGCTGTTCTCTGCAGTTACATCTGCCTTATGGAGTGACCTCTTCTCTACCCTCAATAATGATATAACCATTGCCTCTTTTAGAATGTATGTTGGTATTCTTCAACTGCTGTTTCTTCATAATCATTGGGTTGTTTATATATGTAGTTATGTTATTATAAATCACAGTGGGGTTTTAAAAATAAACAATATGTAAATACTTAAATGCTACAAAAAAGAGAGATATACTCACAGCATTTCAGCACTTGACCAAGAAGGCAGGCAAAAAGATTCCGAAATGGGTTGAGATGAAAACTCCCTGCTGAAGACTGCAATCAGGACAACCCTAAAAAGTCCCATATGGGAGGAAACTACCCTGAATATATTGCTAGTCTTGAGGCAAAGAATATGATCCATTGAAATTTGAGTTCAAATAACTTCAACAATATTCAAATTAAAAACAGAATAACTATATGTTAGCAGAAGTAGGAACAAGTATCAGTGTCAGCATAGGTTTGTAGAATACAAGATGTAAATGGTGAATTGTTTTGTAACTTTGATCTGGACCCAGATCTCTTATTCTAGCTCAAGCGTGTTTTTTAAAAAAAATATATATATATACGTCAGGTGTATTAAAACACAGGTATCCAAATTGGCAGGCTAACTTCAGAAGAGTAACTACTAATAATACTAACCAATCTCGTATTTAAGTACAATGACAATAAAGATTATACTTATACTTACTTATACCTAATAATAACAACTCATCTGCACTATAATTAAGAACATGCTTCTGAAACAAAACTCCTCTTTTCTGTTCACCATTTTTTCAAGTTTATTATTTGAATTATTTGCCAAAATGTCAAAGCTTAAACTTCTGATAATGTAATCCTTCAGAGAGGTATGCAAAGAAGAAGAAATAGCATAACTTTCTTACAAAAACAGCAGGCATCCTGCTGTCTTCCATTGTTGTTTAACACATGCAGAGCCAGGATTCTGGGATCAAAACCCTTTTCAAATCAAAATTACAGAGACAGCGTCATGAGGCAAGGTAGAATCTTTTGAATTGAGGACTTGGTTTCTCTGCTGATCTTTGTAAATCCAGAATCAGCAGTCTTCTCTAAATTATTTTATGTCAAGCTCAAAAATCAGTCTATAAATTCCTAAACCATTTTGACTTGGTTAAAACATGAGTCAAATTGTTTATTAACTTGTAGCAATTAACCCTATCAGCTAAGTTTTACCAACTAATCCTATCAGCTAACTAATCACTATGGACTTCTCCATCACAGCAAGAATCCATAAGAGGTCTTAACTAGATGGACAGCGAACTTCAATGCTGTTGTGAAAAAAAGAATTCCTCTTAAAATTTCTGCTGCTATATTTTTGCCTGTTTGATGTGAAATGGTGCAGTAAACTCCTTCATGAAAAAACAAAATTATCTGAAAATTGTTGACAGTTCCAGTTAATAACAGAATAGTTGATCAAATTCCACCTTTTTGTTAAAAAAAATAGGGTTGAGAACATAATAAATCTTTTATGCAGTGCTATCATAGCACTTTATGAAATGAAAATTGGAAAAGAAAAACGTCTGCGACAGAGGCAATAGAGAGACCGAAGAAGCAAAGTAACCCAAGCCTGCCACCCTAAAATAATATTAAAGAATAATAAGGCACAGCAGAGACACCTGCCCATCAGCATTCTTCAGAGGGTCAGCAATTAAGGATGCCAAACTGAAAGCATACTTCTTATCTGGAAGGAGAGGACAAAAAACTATCAACGTATTCTTAATAAATGTACCATTTTTACTAGATGCCCTTTGAAAGAAGATCAGGATGCCAGTAGGAAAAATTCTGGATTACTTTTAGTTTTTGAAATTAGAAACAATTCAAAATAGGTCCAACTTTGATGGCCTCTTTAAGTGGCCTGAGTTACAGAGGATAACATGTCAAACAATAAAGCAGGTGGGCAAGGAATTTGTTATTTTATCAACAATTACATTTGCAGACATTTTAGTAGTTAAATCAGTTTTTTTTTTAATTTCTTTTTTTTTAACTGAGATTTGTTAAGGCCAAATCTTAACACACAGAGCATGTCCTTGCCTAAAAGGGCTCTGTAATAAGATGGACTGCAATTCAATATCAAATCCCATTAGCAAGTCTGGGATCTCCTGCCAACACAGCCATTTAGGAAATCATCAGCCAGCTACTAATGCCTCCTCCATCCTGAAGTAAAGCCTCAGCATGAATTGCTATTGCTTGCATCCCTTTTCCCTGGTTCTCATAGATCCAATGCATTTAGTATTCTCTCCTAGTACAGCTGAATCTCTCAATATCGAACGGTTTTGGAGTTCTGTTTAGACTCATTACTTTTATCTCTTTTAAATATACAATATAAAACAATATGTTATTGTACATTTGAGCAACATTGGCACAAACATCCCATAAGTCAGACATTGTTCTGTTACATTCAAACACCATGAGATGGCTTGATTTTTTTTCAGCTTCAAGAATGTGCAAATGTCTACATAGGTCTAAGAGGCTAGCACCATGGACAGCTCCCAGCCTCTGCTTTAGATGGGAGGCGGTTGAGGGGTGGGGGTAGCAGGATGGAGAGAACAGGTCAAGTGGAGGAGCATTGGAAGGATAGCAGCAGAGCTTCCCCAGCACTTATTTTCAGTGTTGGGAATGAATACACACCCCCCCCCCCCCCCTTGTGCCAAGATGAAAAGAAAGGAAAATTACAAAAGGCAGGTGACTTGCAGTAAACGGTCTTTTGTGACCATTATCTTTTTTTTTTTAGAACCACTATGGCAGAGCTCCAACAGCAGGAAGGATAAATACATGCAGGGATTTCTTTAACTGGGGTGGGTGGAGGGGAATAAATTCCCTGTCTGTACTGTGATTCACAGTAGCAGCAGGGAGACCCAAACCATCAGGCGGACAGGTTGGGTTTTCTCAAACAAGGGCATAGCCGCTGTTTTCTCCCGCACTAGTCAGAACCTTACCGATAAATAATGCCTCAGGCTGATCCATTAATATGTCTAGGGATTCTCCCATTTGGAAGAAAGAGAAAAGGACACCCTCCCCCAATGCATATACATATATTTAGGGCTATATATATAGCCCTAAATGTATCCACACTGTCCATGGCAGCTTGCTGTGATAGCAAAGATTGATTCTGCTCATAGATGAAAGATACAATATGGGCCAAACCATCCCATCTTACCTATCCTCAAATCATCTAGTTGCTGCAGTTGTGAAAAGGGCTTGATGTAATTCTGGGTGTGTCCCCCCCCAAATGGAGTGTTGAAAGGGTGGCTGTAGCAAACCTCCTCCATCCCCATACACAGACCAAACCCTACCAAAGGCTTGTGGGGCAGAATGGGAAGCAGTTCCATGATGCTACCTGTACAAAAGAGGATGACTAAGGGCTATGCCCCCCCCCCCGCAGCTCCCCAATCCCCACCCCTGGTTTTAATTCTTCCAGGGGAAGCCCTAGTTGAGTCAAGCCTTTGGGTGAGAAGGGGATGAAGAGGTGAGCTCTTTCTAGAAGGTTGGGGGTGTTGTGGAGCCCCCCCCCCGAATTTCCTAACGGTCCAAGCTTATAGTCCAGTGTTTGTTGGTGCTGGAGGAGTCCTTTGTGGACACCCCCTCGCCTTCATTCTTGAGGTCCTGGAAGACCTGCGTGAAGAAGTGCGGGTCAGAGTTGATCTGCAACATCTTGGCGCTCAGGCCCTGGATGATGGAGAGGCAGCGGTCCCAAAAGCGCTCCTTGTCACCCTCAACCAGAAAGGGCTTGAGCGGGTAGGAGATTTCATTGCCCATGTAGGAGTAGGCCAGGTAGAGGCAAGTGAGGAAGGAGGCTTGAAGCTCCGCCTGGCTGCCAATCTGGTCGCCTTGCAGCGCTTCGCGACACAGCAGGTACACAAAGACGAGGTTGGCGGGGGTGATGAAGCCTTGGTCCTGCCAGCCCTGGAGCAGGAGCGAGCGATCCACGCTGCGGAACCAGCCGATGAGTTCGCCGGGGCTCAGGTCCTTGAGCCTGTAGCATCGGCGGCACACGAAGTCCCCGAGGCAGCGGAGGAGCTCGCCCGTCGAAGCCTGCACGATCACTCTCCGCGGGGAGCCCGCGGCCGAGCGGTTGCTGGGCAGCGGCGGGGGCGGCGGCGGTTTTCCGTTGTCTTGGACCGAGACGGGCACAGTTGGCACCGGGACAGCCAAGGGACCCTGTTTGGTGCCGTCCGGCTGGGACTTGCGCACGTTCTCGCGGTTGCGTTGTTGCACCAGAGGATCCGAGGCGCCTCCGGAGCCCGGCTTGGGCGTCACCTTCTTCGCGTTCTTCTTCTTTTTGGCAGAGGCGGCCACCAGGCGCTTCCAGGTGAGGGCAGAAATCAAAACGCCGGGCCGCTTCAAGCGGCTCTCGCCTTTGCCGTGAGCTCTGCCCGGAGCCGCCTTCTCGCCGAGCACCCCATGGCTGCCCTTCCCAGACCCGCCGGGCGACAGGGATAGCACTGTACCCATCCTGGAGGCGGCTGCGGCGGGTTCCCCAGTTGCTGCTTTACGGGAAGGTCCTCACAGCTTCTGCCCAGGCGCGCCCCGCACACCGGCCATGGGCAGGGGCGGGACGCAATGGCCGCGCCGGCGCCTTGAGACCCGAAGGGAGCCGCCGCAGCGAAGTCCACCGGGCTGGAGAAAGTAGGGTCAACCGGCGATCAGGAGGAGCGTTCTCCGAAGTCGCCCGCAGCTCCGAGCGAAAGCCGCCCTGGCCCCGCCCCGCCTCTGTACGGGTAGCCAATCCCAAGCCTCTGCTTCTTTTCCCCGGGAGCCAATGGCCGGGAGGCACAGCATTCGCCCCCCCCCCCGCCCGCTCCGATGCCGCTTCCTTTTCTCCAGGGGGGACGCCTCTCTCTCTTCCGGGGGGCTTCCAAATAAAAATAGAAAAGGGAAGCTCGGCCTTTGCTCAGGCCCCCGTTCCTTCTCAAGCTGTAATTTCATTCATCGGCTCTTAAGGCAAGGGCGTGACCCTACAAGGCTTGGCGGAGGCCACGTTCAGATCTCCCGAAATGGATGCCCCGCGTTATCCCCCACGCCGTTGACTGTAAAGCGCTGGCACATCCGGGTGGTTAAATAATCTTCATGCCTGGTACAAAATGTCAGACAATTGCGCAGACCAGTACTTTTCCTAAAGAGCATCTTGGCGTAGCTAGGGCTAAGAAAGGAGGCTTTGGGAAAACCCATAAATAAATATGCCGTGCTGCAGGTCTAGAAGTCGTTAAGCATGCCCCTTGCCCCTCTAAGGAAGGTCCCCATACTTCTAACGCAGGTCTCTTCCCCCCCCCTCGCTATAATCCTATAATCCCAATTCAATATAGCGATGTTGTGTTAAGATTCTGACAGTTGAAGTCAAACCAAGGCATCTGTTTTGTGCATCGGGCAGAAAACAATTGAAAAGTTAATCAGCATCTTACAGGTCAGAACACAAATTAGTAAACATAGATACAGCCTTGAGTTTTCCACCTAATCTCTGTCATGAGATTGGCAACTGAAGTCTTTATTAACTGGGAACTCCCAATTCTTCAAGTCAACTCCTAGAGTACCTTCAGTAGGTAAGAAATGAGTAATGCAGAAATAATGCAATGGCCACAAGTTTTTGCTTGGCTTCTAGATGCAGGGTTACATACTAGGGCATGTTCAGACCACATAGCTTAATATGAGGAGAATACTGTGTCCAGAGGCTATTTTGATGCCTCATCCAGGTCATAAGAGCTCTGCAGTAGCAGTGTTAGACAAGCGTGGGAATATATTTGAGACTATTTGCTTTCTCCCAGGTCAGTGTTTCTTCTAGAGGCACCATTTCTGCACCTGGATTGAAATTACCTGAAAAAGGTAATTGGGTGTGGCTAACATATTGATAAATGTCCAGCTCATGGTTGTCTCAAAGATGCTTTTTCAAGAGGCAACTGGACTTTCTTGTTTTTTCTTTGAAACAACATTTTGCTTCTCATCCAAGAAGCTTCTTCAGCTCTGACTGAATGGTGAGGAATGGAAGGATTTATGTTCCTTGCACAGAGCTGGTCATTTGCATTCTTTTAGAGAGTCGCTGAGGCCACTTGGAGATTTATCTGTGTCCTCAGGGTCACCTGAGTAGTGCAATTGGTTGTGGAGCCTTTTTGGAACTGCTGGAAGGAACTGCATATTGGAATGGCATATTGATAGCATTTCAAATCCACCCTGAACTGACAACATATATTTTAAATATAAATCACACTGAAGTTCGTTAGATTCTACAGGACAGTATTAGAGAATCAAGCAGACATCACTACTCTGTACATAAGGGTGATTACACACACTTGCTTTCATTTCATTTATATTGGTGAATTTCATTTATAATCAATACGATTGATGGTGCATGATGCTAAAAAGTATAGTTCATATGTCAATGAAGAGCCATAAATTGTCAATTGTTTACGTATCAATTGTTAAACTCGGATTATCTCACAAAAGTGTATTTGGGTATCAATGATTCAAAAGATGATTGAGAAGTTCACCGAGATCGATGGGAGCAACCTTCTATATTGATCTAGACATGTTACATATTCATCTTGAAGCAAGTTGCCTGTAGCAGATTATCTGCACAGTGTCTGGCCCTTTCCAAATAGCCAAGTAGCTAATCTCTCAGGATAAATATAATCTTACAGCAAGTTTTAGCTTGCCTTAGATGTTTATCCCAAGCTTCTGCCTTCCATTGGTCAAATCTCCATTTTGCAGTATATTCATCCCATTCTTACTGTACCTACGGTGTTAGTGCCAACATTGATTTGGGATTCAAGTAATAAAGCCTTTATTCTACAATCTCTCAGGATCAGATCCTATCTCAGGGTGACCCAGCACTCTGCTTGGTAAGTGGGGAAGAAGGAAGATTATCATTGCCATTTACCAGTTACAATGTTTCACAATGGCCTAAATTAAAGGACCTCATCTCCAGTTTACAGTGTCTAGGAATAAGTTCATAAAAACCATCACATGAGAAAATGAAATGCCAAGAATAGAAAGTTTTATTGGACTAACAAACTGGTGAAGAAATACATCTTCCATATAACTCTTGCTTTGATATTTTTATTTGATGACAAATTCCACAAAAAAGGCATAGAGGACTCCCAATACATATTTTTGTCTACGAAAATATGCATCTCTGTACATTTCCCCCCATTTCTCTTTTGGATCAAGCCAGGAGGTGAGATGCAACATGAGGAAACAAACTTGTCTAAATAGACATTTGCAATGGCTCACAATGATAGGCGATATTACGAAAATAAATCCTGCGTGTGCAAAGGCTTGGACTAGTTTCAAATAGTTGACAAGATTTTAAAAAATATGTCAACATGCATTGATGGCCAAGAAAGACTGGATGACATACCTCAGATCTTTTGATAAGGACAAAGAACGTGGTGGATATGGGGGTGTTTGGGAGCCTTGAACAAGGAGTGGGTCAGAGTGTACCTGGATAACCCAAGATTTGGTTTTACTTGGTTTTACTTACTTTTAAGTTTAAAAAAGTTTATTTTGCAAATAGTATTCAGTCAACAGTTAATTGCCACCACTAATACTGCATCCAGTAGAGCTACACAAGGTTTATTTTAGCCATCCTTGCACAAATAATAGGTGGGATGAATTTATTTTAGGACTGTTCTACTTGAGGCTTTGCTTCTATAATGGAATAATCTTCATTCATTCATTCATTCATTCATTCATTCATTCATTCATTCATTCATTCATTCATTCATTCATTCATGTCAGGGATCAGGCAAGGCAAAGGCTCTTTCTTCTGATATAGGTATAACACTGCTATTTTAACCAGGCTTCTTCCTAAAAGTTCCTTCCT